CAAAATATAAATCATTTTGCATTATATCACGTAATGTTCGATCTATTATTTCTAATACATAACGAGGTGCCATAGGAGCTTCGTCTATAATAAAAACATCTACAAGTTTTAACTTTTCAGCCTCTTTAGATTGAATTTTAATATTTGATATAGAATCAGCAAAAAGAGGAAACAGGTAACCCAAAAACTTTGTGTATTGTTCTTCCATTTGGAAGTAATGTTGCAGTAATACCAGTAAATGCCATCGTACTAACTTTTTTTCACTATTTTTAAGTAAGTAATATAAGGTTGTATAAATGAATGTTTTACCAGAACCACCTGGACCATCGATATAAAAATAATTATTTATAAAAACAGTTAATCTCGGCTCGAATTATTGTGTTACAATAAAAATAAAATCTCAACGGCAATCGGAGCCTGTGCGGACGACATGCACAAAATTAATAAATTAAAATGAGATCTCAAATCAAACTCATTTATTAAATTCTAAACGTTTCGACCCACTTCGGGTCTTCTTCAGTAGCTGCAAAATACAAAGAAACAAAAATAAAAGATAATCGGTACAAACAGAAAATTATAAAACTCATATACATACAATCCGCAAATAAATTAAATATCATTCTCCTCCCTATTCAAACCGTCCGGCCGTCGGAGCGTCTCCCTAACGGTGACCATCGTCAGGAAGGAAGCAGAGCAGTGACTCCCTTACCAACACTAATCAACATAGTATAGATTAAACGTAGAAAAATCCACAAAAATTAAAAATTAAAAACCGGGAAGTACACTCACCCCGACAGTAAAAACAGAGAGAAGACGATGCTACACGTGACACATCACTCTAACGACTGTGCGGTATTCTACCTCGACCCAGTCGATACATATATACGCAAAAAACAAATATAAAAATATAAAAATAAAATATGAAAATAAAAATAAAAACAACTAAAACTTATCGGCACTCATGTCAAAGGTCTAATAAAAAAACCGGCTATGTATAATCACAAAGCTAGATTTTGGTAAATTTTTCTATTAACAGATCAAAATTCTCGTTTAATTTATCAGTGTCGCTATGTAAATTTAAACTATTCCTCTGCCGTTTTATGTGGATCATTTCGGATATCAAACGTTTACCTAAAAAAGGCTCCTCGTCTAAAACTTTTACATCCTCCCAATTAAATTCATGGTTCAATAATCTATGTTCCGATATGACTGATAATTGTGACGCGTTTCTTTTTATGTTGTTGCGATGTTCTTTCATCCTAGTTTTCAACAATCTACCCGTCTGCCCTACGTACGACGCATCACAATCCATACAATCAATTTTATAAACTACATTGTTATGGAGTTCCCTTGGTAACTTATCCTTGTGTACTTTAATGAATTTACGGAGACTGTTAATTGCTGTATAGGATGGAATGACATCCAAATCACGTGTAATGTCCTCAATTCTCTTCGATACATTATTAATATACGGAATATTAAAGTACGAAACTTTTTTCTGCGTAAGGATCTTGTCATTGCATATATTTGCTCTATTGTTATGCAACTTATTATTGTAGCGGAAGAACAACTTTTTTAACCGCGCTTGTAATGTTTGAAATATCAAATTGAGAGGATAATTATTAGACAAAAGAACTCCAATCATAGACTCAAAGTTACCTTTATGGAATTTCGGATGAGATAGCCAAAAAACTCTATCAATGAGGCTGATAATGGTGCCTTTTTTATGACAGAGAGGATGCTGCGATTCAAAATTTAAATATCTGCCTGAATACGTCGGCTTATGAAACAAATCAAACTCAATGCTCCCATTATTTATAATAATGGTGACGTCTAAAAAATTCAATCGGTTGTCAACCCCCTCCTCCATGGTGAACTGCAATCTAGGATGGAAAGAATTGAAAGTGTTTAAAACAATTTTAAGCATGGAGGGTGGGGCCGCCAACGCGATATCGTCAACATATCTAAAATAAAATGGAAATGACATTGGAATCGCAGCAATCGCTCTACTCTCCAAATCTTGCAACGTGATATCCGCAATGATTGGTGAGAGGGGGGAACCCATAGGCGTGCCAAAAGTCTGTTGATAACATACATTATTAAAGATAAAATAAGTCGAATTCATAATAAAACGAATTGCCAATAAAAATTCATCTCGTGGAATAATACACTCTTTTTCAATATACCCCCATCTGTTAATTAAACTATCAATAGCCATATCCAATGGTACATTGGTGAACAATGATGCAACATCTAGTGAAACTAGCTTCACATCACTATCCACACATAAACCATTTAATTTGTTCACTAATTGGAAACTATCAGAAATAGCCGAATCAGGTTTCGGAATTGCCTTATATATTATCTTATGTAAAAATTTTGCCAAGTAATAAAGAGGTGTATTCCTAGATGACACGATGACACGTAAAGGGCAATTCGGTTTATGCACCTTCGGCAGACCATACGCTCTCGGTAGAACCCCGTCCGTGCAGTTCAGGGATTTATATGTTGTTGAAGAAATGTAATTCTTCATTTTCCATCTCATTAAAATTCCGTGTAATTGATTAATTAGGTTCCTAGTCGGATCTTTTTTAACAACAGTATAAGTATCCCGGTCAGCCAGCAAATCACACATTTTGTCCATGTACATATCTCTGTTCATCGCAACCGTGATGTTACCTTTATCCGCCTTCATAAATAAAATATCGGGATTGTCTTGGATGAATTTACCCGTCAATTTGTAAGCCTTACAAAAACTATTTTTTGTGTGAGCTTTTTCAGACATGGAAATATGGAATTTATTTATTATGGGAAAGGCTCTATTTCTGACTGCAGATCGTTTTTCCACAGGGAGTTTAAAAATATTTTGTTCTACATTCTTCAACAACTCTATGGTGGTTTTATCTTTGTCAAATACTGGCAGACAGAAGTTCTCTCCTAACCGCAACAAATCTCGAATTTCAACCGGTATCGATACGGATGATAAATTTAAAAACCATTTATCTCTTTTGTCAGCAACATCAGGATTTAAAGAAACAAAGGAAGTCGGGTTCAAGGAAACGCTGAGAGACTGAGACGGCCCTGACTCACATGGCCTTGAAGAAAATTCTTTCGTACATGTGTAATAATATTGGATAGGACGAATATTTCTATTATTGAATTTATTTTGTTTATCTAAGAGCCATCTAAATTTATCATCCAGTCGAACCCGCTCCTTATTATAAAAATAATGTAATGATCTGCTTTGCTCACCGAAAAACCCATCGCAATAACACACTGGGAGATCTATCATGATGTAACGAACGATTTCATAAATATCTAATCTAACTTTGTGCCTCTGTCTATGAGCATCATAAATTTCATTTCTTAAAATGTCTTTAATAGTACGTTTAAAAATAAATTTGTGTTTCAATGCAGACTTATAATGATATAAATTATTAACATAACGAGAAAGAAATATAAGATGAGACGGTGTAACATTCTGATTTAAACAATCTTTTAAAAATTTGATTCGCAAGTTTAATCTAATCAGGCTTTGTTTAATTTAATCCAATCCTTCAAATGTTTGACAGCGCTCCAATTGAAACTGTGTCCAACAAATTGGAAGAAATTCCTCAACGGACGCATTATTACAGCCAGCGTAAATTCAATATAAAAACAGTTAATCTCGGCTCGAATTATTGTGTTACAATAAAAATAAAATCTCAACGGCAATCGGAGCCTGTGCGGACGACATGCACAAAATTAATAAATTAAAATGAGATCTCAAATCAAACTCATTTATTAAATTCTAAACGTTTCGACCCACTTCGGGTCTTCTTCAGTAGCTGCAAAATACAAAGAAACAAAAATAAAAGATAATCGGTACAAACAGAAAATTATAAAACTCATATACATACAATCCGCAAATAAATTAAATATCATTCTCCTCCCTATTCAAACCGTCCGGCCGTCGGAGCGTCTCCCTAACGGTGACCATCGTCAGGAAGGAAGCAGAGCAGTGACTCCCTTACCAACACTAATCAACATAGTATAGATTAAACGTAGAAAAATCCACAAAAATTAAAATCGTCACAATTATCAGTCATATCGGAACATAGATTATTGAACCATGAATTTAATTGGGAGGATGTAAAAGTTTTAGACGAGGAGCCTTTTTTAGGTAAACGTTTGATATCCGAAATGATCCACATAAAACGGCAGAGGAATAGTTTAAATTTACATAGCGACACTGATAAATTAAACGAGAATTTTGATCTGTTAATAGAAAAATTTACCAAAATCTAGCTTTGTGATTATACATAGCCGGTTTTTTATTAGACCTTTGACATGAGTGCTGATAAGTTTTAGTTGTTTTATTTTTATTTTCATATTTTATTTTATATTTTTATATTTGTTTTTTGCGTATATATGTATCGACTGTGTCGAGGTAGAATACCGCACAGTCGTTAGAGTGATGTGTCACGTGTAGCATCGTCTTCTCTCTGTTTTTACTGTCGGGGTGAGTGTACTTCCCGGTTTTTAATTTTTAATTTTTGTGGATTTTTCTACGTTTAATCTATACTATGTTGATTAGTGTTGGTAAGGGAGTCACTGCTCTGCTTCCTTCCTGACGATGGTCACCGTTAGGGAGACGCTCCGACGGCCGGACGGTTTGAATAGGGAGGAGAATGATATTTAATTTATTTGCGGATTGTATGTATATGAGTTTTATAATTTTCTGTTTGTACCGATTATCTTTTATTTTTGTTTCTTTGTATTTTGCAGCTACTGAAGAAGACCCGAAGTGGGTCGAAACGTTTAGAATTTAATAAATGAGTTTGATTTGAGATCTCATTTTAATTTATTAATTTTGTGCATGTCGTCCGCACAGGCTCCGATTGCCGTTGAGATTTTATTTTTAAAATAATTATTGTTATTGTTATTTGTTATTGTTGCTTCTAAAATAGTATCAACAATTTCTTTTTGTTCTATATTTAATTGTTCATATTGTTGCATACCTATCGATGTATCTTCCTCAATTTGTTCTTCATTATTTATTTCTTGTTCAATAATTTCTTGTTCTAATTCAGGAAAATTAGCAATATTCGAACCTTCCATTTGAAGCACATTAGTAATATAATTATAAACTTTCTTTATTCCTATTATAGGTCCAAATCTTCTTGCATAATCTTCCGACATATCTATTTTAAACTTATCCCATAATTTCTTTGGATGAACTGGTTGGCAATGAATCAAAATTCGTACAAATAAATTACGAAGTCGTCTTGGCATCATCCAAATTTTCGCTTCATTCATTGCACGATACCATTCCTCATCATCTTCTATGAGTTCTAATGCTAAACATGCGGCAGTAAAAGTTTGATGTGTTTCGTTATTAACTGTTCTTAATTCTTGAAAACTTGTAGCTCCTTTAACATGTAATAAAAGTATACGTAAATGAAACAATTCTATCTGAGATGGGCTGACGGAATACATACGACCAATTAAAGTATCTTTGACGTTTCTCCCAGCGATTAATAATTTTGCCACTAATTTTTATTTTTTTAAATACATAATGACATGGAATATCACTGTATAAATATTGTTTTGCTTCTTCATCTCGAACATTTAACTCAAAATAATCTAACATCATTGTTACTCGTTCTACAGCAGATCTTATCGCATCATTATTAATATTATTATCGATTATTACATTATGTTCATTTGGTAAATGAACCGGTAAACGAAATATAGCGTGACTTTTTTCTTGCAAAGGTTTACTTAAAATGCGCCAACATGCTTCCACAGGCCCGACATACCGAGCTTCAATAAAATTTTGAATTTCATCATGATTTATAGTTTTATCTATATTTTCTCCAATAACTATAGATGCTGCATCATGACCTTTATAAATATATTTATATAAATATTTTACTGACCGTATACTCGAAACTATTTCAACATTAATATGACTATTGAATAAAAGTAAAAGAGTTGGATTAAATGAAACAACATATCGATTATCAACAACGTATCGTCCAGGTCTTTCGTACAGCAATCCATTATTTCTTCGACGATAGTGCGGGTAATCATCTTCATCCATAGTCGTCTCAGGTCGAAATGGTTTTGGAAAATGTTTTGAACATTTATCATTTATCAAACACCAATTTCCACATGGTCCATGAATCATATGTTTCATTACAACATTATGTAAACTTTCATTTTCATTAGGATCAGGAATTTCTGCAGAAATAAATTTATCAACTATTTCAGAATTTGATATCTTACAATTCTGTTTTAATGTAATCAATAAATGTATATGTGGTAATCCACGTTTTTGAAATTCTATTACGTAAACATATGCTAAAACTTCACCAAAAATTTTTGTCTAACAATAATATCGATTAAATAATCCTTTTTTATAAATATAAATTTAACATATATAAGATAGGCAATAAGAGCCAAATCGCGGATGACAGTGCGTTATTCTAAACGAAACTAAATTTTTTCGTTAGAATTAAATACCTGTGCACAAGGCACCAAATTTTTACTTGGACACGGCCAAGATATAAAATTGGAATAATCTCTACAAGAGATTTTTAATTCCATGTATCCCCTATTCCCCCTAAAGAAATAAAGTGCGAGAGAAAAATATAGATCCGAAAGTCGCAGAATCGGGAATCGAACCCGAGATCTTTCGCTTGCCGGGCGACTGCTCTTCCATCTGAGCTATTCAGATCCTTTCGATTCTATACTTTTCTCTGTTATATATATTAATGTTGGTAAATAAACGCCTTTAAGCCAGCGTGTATAAATTAAGAGTTTAACTAGGCTCTGTAATATATAAATATAAATTTAACATATATAAGATAGGCAATAAGAGCCAAATCGCGGATGACAGTGCGTTATTCTAAACGAAACTAAATTTTTTCGTTAGAATTAAATACCTGTGCACAAGGCACCAAATTTTTACTTGGACACGGCCAAGATATAAAATTGGAATAATCTCTACAAGAGATTTTTAATTCCATGTATCCCCTATTCCCCCTAAAGAAATAAAGTGCGAGAGAAAAATATAGATCCGAAAGTCGCAGAATCGGGAATCGAACCCGAGACCTTTCGCTTGCCGGGCGACTGCTCTTCCATCTGAGCTATTCAGATCCTTTCGATTCTATACTTTTCTCTGTTATATATATTAATGTTGGTAAATAAACGCCTTTAAGCCAGCGTGTATAAATTAAGAGTTTAACTAGGCTCTGTAATATATAAATATAAATTTAACATATATAAGATAGGCAATAAGAGCCAAATCGCGGATGACAGTGCGTTATTCTAAACGAAACTAAATTTTTTCGTTAGAATTAAATACCTGTGCACAAGGCACCAAATTTTTACTTGGACACGGCCAAGATATAAAATTGGAATAATCTCTACAAGAGATTTTTAATTCCATGTATCCCCTATTCCCCCTAAAGAAATAAAGTGCGAGAGAAAAATATAGATCCGAAAGTCGCAGAATCGGGAATCGAACCCGAGACCTTTCGCTTGCCGGGCGACTGCTCTTCCATCTGAGCTATTCAGATCCTTTCGATTCTATACTTTTCTCTGTTATATATATTAATGTTGGTAAATAAACGCCTTTAAGCCAGCGTGTATAAATTAAGAGTTTAACTAGGCTCTGTAATATATAAATATAAATTTAACATATATAAGATAGGCAATAAGAGCCAAATCGCGGATGACAGTGCGTTATTCTAAACGAAACTAAATTTTTTCGTTAGAATTAAATACCTGTGCACAAGGCACCAAATTTTTACTTGGACACGGCCAAGATATAAAATTGGAATAATCTCTACAAGAGATTTTTAATTCCATGTATCCCCTATTCCCCCTAAAGAAATAAAGTGCGAGAGAAAAATATAGATCCGAAAGTCGCAGAATCGGGAATCGAACCCGAGACCTTTCGCTTGCCGGGCGACTGCTCTTCCATCTGAGCTATTCAGATCCTTTCGATTCTATACTTTTCTCTGTTATATATATTAATGTTGGTAAATAAACGCCTTTAAGCCAGCGTGTATAAATTAAGAGTTTAACTAGGCTCTGTAATATATAAATATAAATTTAACATAACTTTAACAATCCTTTTTTATATTAAATACCCGAGCACATATATCTGGCCTATCTGCAGGTTGTTGATTTGGAAGTAAATTTTCTTTAATTTCGCGCCAATTTGGATTACAAGTCATAGTAACAAAGATATCTGGTTTTCCATTTTTCCGAACAATAGCCATTGCATCTTGATAATGTTGCAACATATTACGCGGTGAACCCACAAATGTCGATGGAAGTATAATCATTTTTCCAATATGAGCATTGTTATTATTGGCGGTGTTTGCTAAATAATCAATTAATCCTTGATAAGTCTCAGCTCGTAATTGTTTTTGATTCTGTTTATAATAATTAATTCGATTCTTTTCAATTTTTATATAACTATCTACAAGCCATTGTTGGAATAATCGTCTGCCCATAATAAAAATATTAAAATTATCACGTATAGCTATGTGATATTTTACATATGCAGCTCTACTTACTCGTTTATTACAATTCTTACGTTGTAAATTATCATGCCATCCTTGATTACCATATGGATAGAATAATGGATAAATCCATGGTTCTACATTTGGATTCATTGTACTGACTTGTTGTAACGTTTTCTCATTTTTATTATATATTGTTACATAAGTTTCCGGAATTTCACCATCTGCTGTAGTAGAAAAAACAGCTGCAACTTCATTTACTCTTTGCACATTGTATCGGCCACGATCAATGCCTTTTTTTGTCAAAAATCTCAATTGTAATTCACGTATACTATTATTTTCAGTGATTTGTTCAATTTCTTTATGCATCATTCGGTAAGATTGTGCAAAAACATTATTCGTACGCATTATATTATCTATTAAATGTAAAATTTCTTTATCAAGATTCGAATTTCGATGTAATCGACATTCTGTTGCTTCATTATTATCCACAATAAAAAGTTGACCATAACTTGGCATTTCGTTAGATGAGGGATATAACGCAGTATTAATTTGATAATAAATTTGTCTTTGAATTTTAAAACAATAAGGTCCACGTCTTTGCGCACTAAAATCTGCTAAGTTTGCATTAAATGACGCGAATGAAAATGTATTATTGTAACCATGAATATGATTATAAAAATGACTTGATTTTTGATGATTTCCAATAAATAATTCATAAAGTTCATACGGAGGTTGTGGTAAAGAATCTAACTTAACAGAACCATGGCTGCAACAATCATTAAATGAATTACCCTTATTAGCTACTTTTTCAGAATTAAAATGTTTTGCGCCACAATGTTCACAATATATATTCATTTCTCCTATGTAATACTCTATGATATTTTGTAGTTGAGTAGTATAAGATTTATTAATATCTACAAATCCTTTTTTAAAGCTCGAGTTTTTTCATTACGATTTGCATTTTTACTTTTATCAATTATATTGTGTGATGTGCTAGGTATAGAGAAAGTAATATTGTTATTTAATAAAATTTCTGTAGTTGAATTGTGAACATTTCTAATTATATCAGTATCATCGTTAACATTAACATTATTTGTTGGAGATAGTACTTTCATATATGAATTAACTGATTGTGAAACAACATGATCTATTACTATATTTTTCGAGAAGCTTGTTAAAGTTTGCGCTATATTTAGACAAATCTCACTGCTATTTGATAAAGATTGACAATCTTGTTTAGTTATCATTCGTTTCATTTCCCGTCTTTCCATCTGAGATTTTGCTTTTCTTTCTCGTTTATTACACTGGAATTCTTCTTCTTCTTCAGCAGTTCGAACTACTTTTCTTCGAGGCATAATTAATTTTAGTAGTGTAATAAAATAATTAAATAATCTAAATCAAAGTCAATTTCAATTCAACATCAAGCCAAAGTCAATTTTAGTTCAAATTACAGCCAACTTTAATTTAAGAGAAAAAAAACCAATTTCAATAATCAATTTTAATTTATGTATCATTAAATAATAATCAAATAATATTATCATTATAATAATACTTTATCAATTTTTATTTATTTCAGTTTAAAATTAATGAAATTAGTATATTTAATTTAATTTAATATTAATTTAAAAATATAAAAGAATTTTAATCTCATAATTTTAATAAAAATTATTTTTAATTCAACAATTTAAAGTAAAATTAATTTTAATCCAACACTTCAAATCAAGTAATATCAAAAATAATTTTAATCAAATTAAAATTAATTTAAATTTACAATTATAGTTAAAATTTATTTTTTAATCAAATTAATTCGAATTAAAATATAATTTTAATTAATTAATTTAAATGGAAACTAACTTTAAACTAATAATTTAATTAAAATTAATTTTAATTTAATAATCTAATAATAAGTTAAAATTAATCTTAATCAAAATAAAAATTACTTTTAATCTAGATGTATTATAAGTAAAAACGATTTAAACAAAAGCTAATTTTAATTAAATAATTTAAATCACAACTAATTTGAATCAAATAAAAATTAATGTCAATTTAAGTTAAATTTTTATCTAATAAAAAATCCAAATTACAATCAATTGCAATTTAACAATCTATCATAATCAATTTCAATTTAATTCAAATTTCAATCCAATAATACAAGCCTCAAAATCAATGTTAATTCCTCTAATCCAAATCACAATAATTAATTTTAATTCAATCAAATTTCTATCGCTAATAATTCAAATCATCAATTTCAGTCCAACAATCCAAGTAACAACCAATTTCAATTTACAAGTCAAATTTCAATTCATTTCAGTCCAACAATCCAGGTAACAACCAATTTCAATTCACAAGTCAAATTTCAATTCAATAATAATTTCAAATCAATAACTACTCACAACCAATTTCAAGTCAAGTTTATTTTCAATCTAATAATCCAAATCACAATTAATTTCAGTCTAATTCAAGTCACAATCAACTTCAATTCAAGTAATGTCAAATCCATTCAATTTTATATCAAATAAAATTCAATTTTGGTAAAAATAAAAATTAATTTAATTTTAACGAAACAATTTTAATTAAATCTAGTTTTACAATTTTTTTTAAATTTTAATCTTAATATTTTTATTTTATTTATTTTTTATTATTTTTTATTTTTATACTTTTTAATTTTTTTATTTAATTTAATTTTTAAATTATTAAATTTAATTGTTTATAATTTAAATTAATTTTAATTAAATAATTATATCAATCAAAACAAATCAATTTAACAATAAATTTAATCGCAATTAATTTCAATATAATTTAAAATTAAAACTTTTTAATATAATAATTTATAATAAAATAAATTTTAATCTTAAAATTTAAATTAGAATCAATTAAAATTAATTGTAATTAATCCAAAAATTAAATTATTAAGTTAATTTTAATTTAATAATTAATATTAAAATCGATTTTAGTATAATAACAGAAAATTAAAAAGAACTTTATTTTTAACTGAATCTAAATAAATTTAAATTTGATAATATATATATATTGATAAATGTATATATATATATATATATATATAAAAGCAGAATAATACATTTTTATACATATATAAAATTTAAATAATTATTTGGAACAAACTATATGAAAATTTTGGTGTAAAAAAAGATATAAAAAAAGGATATTTATTCTTTTCTTTATATATTGTCTCTCTCTCTCTTTCTCTCTCTCTCTCTCTCTCTCTCCCCCCCCATCTAATTCAATCTTCCACTCTCTATCTTCTTCTCTTGATGAAAATCTTCTTTTCTCTATATCAAGAGACACGGTAGTGTCTCGCGACCAGTTAAGGGCGTAGCCGAGACACCGTGTATCTTAACGCGAGTCGGACATTTGAGTCTTTATAATATTTCGAATTCTCAATAACGGCTGAAGCAATCGAGTTTATACTAGACTTAATCGATAGATTGAGTTTGAATTATATAATAAAAGTGTCTTTATTTCTGCTCTACGTGATTTGTAAGCAGAGATATATAATTGCAAAGTCGAAATATGAAAAATTTCTTTTAAGAAACGTCCCCGTCATCATTATCATCATCGACCACGCAAACATAGTAGTATCGTGCTACACGTATTCACACGTATACAACACATGCGCACACATATATCACACGTACACACACACATGAATAGATGCATGTATTGGAAATGTCCATCTCGCACGTTTTACAACAGACGGCGATAGTTGCCCTCCGCTATATTGACAGCGTGCGGGGTTAGATATTTTCAATTTTCAATTTCAATTTTTACATTCAATTTTAATGTTATTATTTGCAAATTTATTGTCATAATAATTTATGTGCAAGTTTACAGTCTGTGATACAAAATCAGATATTTTGCTATTATTTCAATAATATTTCAATTATATAAATGCCTATGTATGAGTATGCATATATTTTTAATAATTTTCTTAATTAGCTTCTATATTTTTTTCAGTTGTACATCAAGCAGGTAGCATTATCAGCTCACTTGTGAGCATGGGTTGGGCAATGGCTAGTTATCATCGCAGCATTCGATTAGCTTAACAAGATAAATCTAATATCAGTGCTATAGGAACTATTTTACAATTTTTCTGGCATTTTCTTATTGCAGGTACATATATATCCAATAATTAATATACAAAATTAAATATTATTCATCACACACTTTGTATCAAAATAATATATTTTTTTAAATTTATTTTAAATTTATTTAATCATTTTTATCATTGTGATTGTAGTGGCAAGGATCTTATTGCTCAGTGTCATTGCAAGCATCTGGCCTATATATACCATAATATATTGTGTAATACATTGGCTAAGTATGACAATATAGATTTTGATAGATTCCCATGGAATATTGGAATTTTGTCGGACTTACAGTCATCCACCACATATGCAGCCTACAATTAAAGAACGCATTTATTCCATATGATTTGCTTCCGTTATTGGAATATTTAAAATAAAAATTTTATTAATAAATTTCGATGAAATAATTTATAAGAGGTTGAAGAAACTATGAAACAAATTCAGTCTCATAAAAGGGTAGTTGGAACAATAGTGGTGAATGCAGAAGGTATTACATGAGATCATTGACATGATTTACTTGTAGTTGTAAACAAAAATTTATAAAATTATATTGTTTTAGGTATTCCTATAAAGTCAACATTAGATAATACGACAACAGTTCAATACGCAGGTTTGATAAGTCAATTGTCAGATAAAGCTCGTTCTGTCGTACGTGACTTGAATCCAACAAAGATTTAACTTTCTTGCGCATACGTAGCAAAAAACATAAAATTATGATGGCACCAGATAAAGAATTCATATTAATAGTAGTACAAAATCCAGTTGATTGATATTAAAAGAAACAAAAATATATTTCAAAGTTAAGATTTATTTCTTTGGTTGTTAATTTAATCTGTATGCTACATTGTGGATGTTAATATCTATTCAATTAAATAAAGAAAAATAAAGAATAAAGCTTAAAAATTATACAAAATGCAGTATTTAATTACTAATTTAACAAATTATGAACTTTTAGAGTTTTTAAATAGTGCTTTCTTCTTTGGTAACAATATTATATTTTTAAGTTTGATAATTATGAAAATATGTATATATAGTAATTCATGGCATGTTTATTTTGGTATTTAATACAATTATAAATGTACATTTCTCATCAATAAAATATCACAGTATCTTTTTTATAATTTAATTTTAATATTGAGATTGTTTTTATTCAGTGGAAAAAAAAATGTGTAGTTGGTCCCTATTAATTATACATACATATAAGAGTGTCGCACAAATAATTCTATGCAGTCTTTTTAAGATAATATAAAAATACTTATAAATATAATCAATTAAAATACATATAATCAAAATTGTATGTATTAAAATTCAATAGCATATAAAAAAGATTTTTGAAATTATATATATATAATAAAAATCCAACATTTATATATATATATATATATATATATATATAAATATATTATATAT